CTAAAATGTTGAAAATGTATCCTACGATAAAAGAATTTTCATATCAATTACACGGAAATACTAGTTTGCTCCATAATTTCATTAACACCACAGTGGGAGCATGGCTTGGGATAGCAGCCGGCATCTATAATACAAAATGAGTTAATTATCGCAGCGATAAGCATGTCTAACTAATATCAACAAAAGACCAAATCGCGACAAAAATTCTGAAAAGCAAAAAAAGAAAAAGAAAAACAGCAACATTTGTCTCACGATGAGTTGCCGGCCAAATGTCACGTAATTGTCTGTATAGTATGGTGCAACACCACCAAAGCATATTTAAACAAACCATGCAAACCAATTGACCACAGTCGGCTAACGGTGCTCTTGCCTTGATAACACAATAACATAACAAGAAACAGAAATTCGAACCGCGACGTGAACAAGTTCCGCAAGCCAAAGCAGCAGCATCTAATAGTTTACAAAAAAAAAAAAGCGACACAATGAACCGCTTTCAACACCTGCTTTACGTCTGCTCCATCGCAATGATTGTACGTAGCAACTTTACACGCCACACGGCTTAAGACTACAAACTATTTCGAAATTGTTTGCTGTTTGTAATTGGTTTGTGATACGTTATTCTAACATTTCCTCCCTATCTTTTTTCTCCCAACATAGGCGTGCAGCACGACAGCGCATGCTTCGTATGGCTCACAAGGACTGTCTGGTGGCTATGGCGGCGGAGACGCCGGTGCCGGTGCTGGAGGTGCTGTAGGGCTCAGCAGCGGTATTGGAGGGCTCAGCAGCGGTGCCGGAGGGCTCAGCAGCGGTATTGTAGGGCTCAGCAGCGGTGCTGGAGGTCTCAGCAGCGGTGCTGGCGGCAGTGATACACTCGGTGGCATCATTCAAGGTATTGGCAATACGGGTGCTATCGAAGGTGATGGCAATGGTGTACCAAGTCCATGCAACGCAATCCAACCTGCCCAAAGCATCCCCTACGCTTTAGGTCAACGTGCCAACACGGTCAGCTCATCAATCACCTACCCACAAAACAAGGGAGAAATCCTTATCCATCGTCCCGCTGCCATTATCGTCAAGCGTCCACCCACCCGAGTGTTGGTCAACCATCCCCCACTAGTTGTGAAACCCGCACCAGTAGTCTTGCATAAACCCCCAGCAGTTGTTTTGCGCAAGGTCTATGTTAAACATCACCCACGCCCAGTTAAGGTAGAGCCCGTCTACGTCAATGTTGTCAAGCCACCAGCAGAGAAATATTTCGTCAACGAGAAGCAACAAGCCGCTTATAACAATGGATACGGCAATGGTTTTGGTGCTGGTGCCGGAGCTGGTGGCAATGGTGCTGCTGCCGCTGGTAGCGCCAATGCTGAAGCTGAAGCTGCTGGATACCAGCTATTGCAGGGTTCCGGACTATCTGCTTTGGCTAACATTGCCAATGGAGGACAAGGCGCATATGAAAGCAGTAATGCCGGAAACAGTGGTTATGGCGCTAGTGGTGCTGCACAAGGTGCGTCAGCCGCACAATACTAAAATTTCTACTTGCTAGAAATTCTCCACTTAGTCTATTTGCCTCTGACTTAGGAGGGTAGCGAACTTAAGTCGTTAAGAGATCAGTCTGTTCCCAGATTGAGAGGTTCTTTCAGGAACCTCAAACTTTTTTATACTACACCAAAGTGTCAATAAAAATTTTTTATAAATATTTAAATATTTTGAAGTTTACCTAATTTATATAGTGATTGCTAAAAGAATTATTAAAATCATATTTACGGCAAAATTCGAAAATAAGAGGCCTTCAGATCATTTGAAGTGATAGGCCTTCCGTGCTCGATTCCTAACTCCTTCTCATTTTGTATGGAGTGACCAGAGTTTCCAGGCTGTCTGATGCAGCTTAACTTAGAAGGGAACAATTTACATGAAATAATACTAACAACATCAATGCGCATGCCACAAATCGGTGGAGAAGCTCGGCCTAACACTATAATATTGCGTAGGCACAAGTCAAATATTATTATAAATAATGAAACAGTTTGAATTTAACTTTGCAGATATAAATGTGGCCAGATATAAATCTGGGTCGTTCCGGTTACGTAGACCAGACTGTCGCCCACTGTGTCGTGGTGAACAAAATTCATTCCTTGCTTTCCAGAAAAGGGTAACTTATTAACATAAAGGATATTCCCAAAGAGCTGAGTGAAAAATATTTCTAGGTCCCTCATTCTACTGTGGGATGTGTTCAGAAAATTGTAATCTTACGTTAGGTTAGATTACGGTGTTTGGCACTCCGCAAAGTACGGCAAAGAGACATATTTAGGCCAATTAGGCCCATTGTGATGCCACTATTAACGATCTCTTGTTCCTTTTCCTTAGTTTCCCATATGATAGAACCATTGTGTAACCTTAACATATCTTTGAAGTTCGCGGATGTCCACAGAGTCGGCACTTTTGAAAAAGTGTTACTGCACTGTATTGATTTAATCACTGTTTGGCTGTCAGAATAAATAGTGACGGGTTGTAGAGAAGTTGGAAGCTTTCAAATTTATTGCCGAGGCGGGTTATTTCAAGAGGAAGAAAAGAGGGGCAGAAGGAGAATTCAAAATAAGCTAAAATTATATCTTAAAATTATAGAGAGCACTGAGATGATTTCATTTTCTAAGCATATCTTGATAACTTCTTTTTGTAACTACATATATACTGTACAAATATGCTCCACGCGACAATAAGTTACGGCCCCCTGTTTGTACCATTAATTTTTTCAAATTAATTTTAGTTATTATTTTATAAAAAAATAGCTCAATGTCTAACGAAAGCCATATAAATCCAAGTTTAGTACAAAAATTACAAAAAACAACAAAAATTTTTATTTATTTATTTTAAGAAAAATTGTGGTATCCAGTTTCACCAATCAATTTTAATATTTACTAGACTGTTAAAATTTAAAATTTTCCGAACAAAATTGTGTAATTTAAAATTCTAAAATGCTGATAAATTTAAAATTGATTGGTGCAACCGGGCACGGGTATGCAGTTTTACAGCCCATTCAATTTGAGGTGTCTACAAAATACCTATGATCTTTAGCAAATTTTTTCTTGTTGACGGTATTGCGCATTTTATTCCATATAAAATAAAGCGCGAATATTTTTGAAATGGAAGAAATGCCGTCAACAAAAAAAAATAAAAAAACAACGGTATTTTGTAGACACTTCAAACTCGCACTTTTACACTAAAAGGCATATAAAATTGCTTAATTGGAATTATTCTAAAAAAATAAAAAATAAAAATTTTTTTTGTGCTATTTTATTGAATTTTTCTAACTTTTCTACAAAACTTGAGATTTGGATTTATAGAGTTTTTGTTAGGCAATGAGCTACACTTCTATAAAAAAAGTGTATTGAAATTAATTGAAAAAATATCCCAAACCAAGTGACCGTATCATTTTACCGCGGGGTGTACATATGAACACAATCATATCGCTCGTTTGGTGGGCAAATGTAATATCTAAAAAAACTAGCAAAATCCTTAAAAAATTTAGTCAGATTTTTTGTTTAAATAAAAAAAATAATCTAGCAAAATATTTTTTTATTTTCACTTTTATTCCAACATAAATAATAATAAAATATAAAATAATAAAATATTTCACACAAACAACAAAAAATATAATCGATAGTCGCATTTGCCTGAAAATTTTAAAATGCACTTAGTAGCATTGTGCTACTATGATAGCACGGCCGAGTAATCATAGTCAACTTATGTACAGATGCAGTCATCACTCCCCATACAAAAAAAAAATCGGTACTGTTTTTCCACTGGAATTATAAAATCTATTATATTTTAAGACTTCCACCAAAATATCTTGCAAAAATATTAAGAATTACGTGAGCTGGACCGATTTGAAAATACCTCCAAAAATTGAGTTTTTTATTAATAAAAACAGTTTGTTTTTAAATATCGTTTGAAAAAATTGCCCCAGATGACTAAACAGTTTAAGCTTAAAAAGTTTGCTTAAAAATATTTAAAAACAATTTTCTACGGAATCATAATAATGAGAATTTTGATGCTGTTTTTGAACTTTTTTCAAAGACTGGTTTAAGAAAAACTTGAATAACTCAGCCAAAACCTTACCAATTTAGGCTTATGAGCAGGGAAGGGGTTTTTAGGACATAAAAACGTTTTTTAAAAAGGCAAAATAGGCAGGAAAAGGCACTAGAATACGAAAAAAAAGGCAAAAACCGAAAAATAATCAAAAAATACATTTATTTTAGAAATATTTATTTTACAGGTAAAAAGAGAAAAACTATTTACTATTTTCAATATAATATAATATTATGAAAAACTTGTACTTTGATTCTTTGACTACTTTCTATTTTCGAGTTTTTCATTCACAAAACTTTACTCTCTATTGTTGTAGTAACATTGAACCAAAAGATGCATTTAGAATTTTTCTGGCAGCATTTTCATTCTTTAGCAGTAAAAAAAGGCAATTTCCGTAAAATGCTTATGAGCTATCATTAAGGTACCCTTTAAATTTCTTTGCGAATCTAAATTTAATAATAAATGTAGAAGTTAGTGGGATCGATGGTGACACTCGTACCAATTTTCAGCTTTATCCCTATTTATTAAGCTAACTTGACTGGGCTAAGCGGTTTTTAGCAGCTTATTATTCAAAAATTTAATGGACAACAAAGCTTGAAAATTTCTTGGAATTTCTTGCAATTTTCCCCCGAGTTCTACATGAAATTAGAAAAATTTTATATGGAAAATATAAATAAATAAAATCGTAAAAACGTCAGGGTATGCATATTCTTGACGCTGGCATACAGTGGGAAGCAAGTGCCACAAATTGTTATTTTTTTTGAACATATTGATATTAAAACAAAATAGCAATTTTGATACTTTTGCTCGCCACTGTACATAAACGTTCATAAAGCAGCAAAATCACAACCCCATTGCAGTTAAATTGCACGCAATAGGCAACTCCCAAGTTTCCTCGATCAAAGCATATGTATGTACATACTTGCTGCAAGCAAAAATTACTATAATAAAACAACAAACATACCAATAAACCCTCACAAATCTGGGTCAAATCTGCAATATAGTAAAAAGATA